CGATTAAAGTTTGGATGCGTCTCTAGTTCTGAAATCTTCTGTCAGCCTGACTATCTCCCTAAATGTATCACTTGTGTAGACCTCACCGCTGACTGAGAAGGCCATACTATACATGTGACACGAAGTGCAAGTGACAAAAGCAGGAGAAGACATTACTCACCGTGTTTGGTGACTGATCCTACTCACCATAGTTGTTTGATGAACTCGTGAAGGCGTAAGCGAGCACGATACGGCAAGCATGGGTGTCAGGTTAACATGCTAGCGAGATAGTAGTGTGTTGTGCTAGCGATAATGATTTAGATGAACTAGCAATGTCAGATGAATATATTAGATATTTTCTAATATTGCCTGAGTAAGTAATATTTAACAATATAGACGAATAAAAGAAAGATTAGATTTATTAGCAGAGAGATTATAAAGATATCTGCGAAAATTCGACTGTGGGATTGGTTGTCAAATCCGGCTCCTCCTATCAAAGCATCGAATCTCCGAGTGTGCAGAATGGTGTCGTGCAGATTCTGACTAACTTCAACCCTATTCGAACGGGACTAGTTTTTCTAAACTAGTTTGGCTTCATCGCTGTCTCCTCTCCACCAGTAAGCTGGTGTGTGGTGAGCGTTCTGGCGCAATATGGATACCGTCGCATTATCCAGGTGGATGCTGCACATTAGTGGTGGTTGAGGAGGTTCCCCCTTCTATGTAAAGTGCTTTGAGTACCCAGAAAAGCACTATAAATGTAGCAAATTATTATTATTATTATTAAATGACGTTTTAGTAAAAAAAAAAAAAATAAAATAAATATATATATATATATATATATATATATATATATATATATCACTTGCCGTCTGATTTTATGTACTGATTTGGATGGGAATAACATCTGTTTTTATTAAAGAGATGGGAGTGTGTTTTCTAGGCGTGGCCGTTACTGAAGGTCATGTGCAGTGCTTACATGCATTACGTATGACGCATGTCTTTTCATTTATTATTATTAAAAAAAAATGTATTATATAAACCTTATTTGAGTAAATTTCATGAGTTTATAGAAGTGGCGGTTTACAATAAACCCACATAAGTGAGCTCCGAAATCTAGACAAGCATCTTTTTCTTACCTGACACTGTTATTAAAATGAAAGTATTTGCAGTTTTTTTATTTTTTATTTAATTTTGTGATTTGGCTCTTTTTTATGCATTTTATTTATTTATTTTTATTTTAAAATTAAATGAAAGCATGCACACACGAGAGGAAGTGTTAGGATAATACAACATTAGCATTCGTATGGGATAAATAGAATTTTACCTGAAAAATTACCTCAGGTAATGCTTATCACATTTTGTGCTTGTTATTATGATAAAGTGCGTCAAGTGTATTTTTATAGTAGGCTAAGGTAAATGTTTAGCACATTTCATACACGCTTTCTCTGACAGCAAAAAATCAAACAGCCTAAATGTCTTGGCACTGCGCAAGATAAAATTAGCTCTTCAGACCTTTTACAACAAGTGTCAGTTGCTTGGAACATCAGGAGAAAATATGAAAATATTAGAAAAGAGAATGACTGTCTCTTTCCGGCTCGTGTCCCACATCCCTCTCAAAGCACAGAGCGGTAGGCTGTATGACGCATCTTTGAAGAGAAATACTTTTATAAAAATATTTCATTCTATAACTTTCTTTAGTTTTACAGGCTGTAGTGTGGTGTGTCACTGGCAGAAGTCTGTTACACACTGGGTTGGTTTAAACAACCAGTCCCTCCAGGATTTCACGATTTTTTTTTTTTGTGATTTTTGCGATCAAAATGACTGATTTTGTGGTGGTAATTTCCAAAAATTTGTGAAAAAATTTGCGACATTTATATATAATATTTACCATAATAGTTTTCAGTCCTTCCAGAAAAACGCGGAGTTTTTTTGTGATTGTTGCGGGCAAAAATTGATTGATTACGCGGCCCGTTTTCTTTTAAAATGCAATGGAATATGCGGGATATTTATGCAATGAAATTGCAGGAATTTGCAAAAATTGAGGGAACTTTCAAAAATTGCGGTTTGATGAAAAAGAGAAAGAGAAAAAATGATTCCCCCAACATCCTGTTCTCACTAGACTAATGTAAGAGTCATTTCTTATTACTTCCTTTGATAAGCAAGCATACTACATCATAGAAAGTGCTGGGAATATTTAATTTCTCATCTTGTTTTATTTCAGACTGTAACGAGTGTAAATAAGGTGTGGCCCCTTTAAGAGCTGCGCGCTCCCTGTTGAACTCTCTGCAGTGTTATATGTGCGCCTTGAACACCCCATGTGTGCGGGTAATTTCTGTTTGATGCTACACTTCTTTATGTTGTTTATTAAGTAACGATGTGACGGTAGAACGTGTGACAGACAGTTATAAGAGTTCGATTTGTGAGATGTCAATCGCCTCCGTGAGTCTGTCTGGCGTCGCGTAATTGCGTCACTTCATACCGTTCCCATGGAAACAGGGGGAAATGGCTGCTCTTGTGTGAAGCAAACGCAACATTTTTCAACTTTCTGCTAAGATACATGTGACTTTTTTGCAACGAAACTTTTTTTGCAGCGAGGATTATGAAATTATGCAAACCCCGCATATTTTGCACGGAAATCGGCAATTTATGCGGCGAAAGTGCGGCGTATTTGAAAAAATGCGGCCACCGCATAAATATGCGGACTTAAATATGGCTGATTTTGCATTGAATTCAGCGATCGCATAATCGCGTTTTTCTGGAGGGACTGAACAACCCCCCTCCCCAATTGAAATCACTATTTCTCTAAGCTAATACATTATCTACGCTAATCCATACTTTGCTAACACTAAAGGTTTATAAAAAGAACCACAACCAATTTGAGTTATAACTTTTAATTAAAAAAATAATTAATATTAACACTTTTACACTCAAAGCTCTACGGCGATCAGCCGTACTATTCAGCGATCTCACCAGAAGAAAATGGCTTTGCTGAGATTTGTGACGGCAATAGGCCTCTATATCTGTTTCCATAGGTGCACGGCGAAAGCACTCACACTGCCAGTCCGCCCCAGCTTGAAGTCTGGCTGGGCTCAGGTCTCGCTCCGGCCGCCTCTTGTTCCTCTATATCCCGCATCTGTTTATCGCTGTGTTTAGGGTGACCACCTGCTAATAAGCCCAAGGGGGGACAAGGGGTATGTTTCTGAGGGACAATGTGGGACACTGCTTGGCGCGGCGGTGCCCCCATCCCACGGGCAGACTCTGATAGTGGTTTACCCCTATCTAGAATTGTTACTATTGCCTTACTGTTTGTACATGAATAATTGTTAAAAAAAAAAAAAAAAAAAGCACATACCTTAGCACATACATTAATAATGCCCTATTCCCTAAACATCTGTAATTGCTGATATATTCTCATGAATAGGCCAACCAATGTGTATTTTTTTTTTCTAAATAAAATGAATATTTTGAACATTCAATGAATTGACAGATGCACTTCCACTCACGATTTACTTTAGCTATTTAATTTGATTTATTTTTCATTACAATTAATTCACTTTAAATAAATAAAAATATAAAATTATAGGATTAACAGGAATTATAGTTCCTCAACACCACAGGAACAGTTTTTAAAAAAGTCGAAAAAAAGTCTAAACTCACAACTCCAGAGGTTCACGGAACGACAAGGTGTGCTGTCATGACAACAATGAAAAAGTTGACATCAACCTAGTCAGCAGGTCACGTGGGAGTGGCAACCAGTCTTGGGGATATGTCTATGGTCTTGGGGAAGTTCTCACTTTCTGAACTAGTTCAAAGTTTAGTTCACACATTTTAAAATGAACTAGTTCAGTTCAAAGTTTGCACAGAAATGTAAGATTGTTCCCATCTTCACCGACCTCGTTATAAAATCCGTTTAAATTATCATATGACGCCTTTGTCGACGGCGGCCGCGGTGCGACACTGGTGGCTTGTGTTGCCAGATTGGGTGTTTTTTTTTCGCTACACATTAAGCCCTGTTTACGTTGAGGTTTAGCCGGGCTTTCGCCTGGAAGGCTCTATAGAAATCTGGCACCCCATTGAACGAAGTTAAACTGAGAGAGCGTGCGTTCACAGACACCAGAATGAACGAGAGTAATCAGGACAGGCAGTAAAACAATACGTTCAGTTCACCCACAATATGAACGAGTTCATGAACGTGAACGAGTTCAGGCACAACGTTTGGCTGCCTGGGTCTCGAGGATATAGACTGACCGACTTTTTTTTTTTTTTTTTTTTTTTGAGCAAGCATTGATTATGCGTGACACGGTCTCAATTTGCGGGACGCATGAATTGGGCTTCAAACGCTGTGCGCGCACGCGCTACGCGGGATGGGTGGTCACCCTAGCTGTATTGCAAATCGTACAGGTAGCCGCCCGTGAGCATCAGATTCTTGCCCGTCCCAGCTCGAGTCTGTTTTGCTCCGGCCGCCTCTTGTTCCTCCATCTCCTGCAACTGTTTATCGCTGTATTGCGACTCGTACAGGTAGCCGCGAGCATCAGATTCTCGCAACATATCTTCGAAATACCCTTCTGCCATTTCAACTTCAAAACTACCTTCCACCATCGTGATATGCCTACTATAGAAACTTTCTACACAGACCAAGAGGCAAGAGCCCGTTAGCTTAGCTTCTACAGTAAGATGGCCGACACGATGTTTACATTCTGTGAGTGAGATGCCTAAACATGCTGAACACTGGCTGTAGTCTTTAGCCTCCGGCCCAAAAATCCTCTGATGACGCAAAATGACGATTTTGTCCAGAATAAAAATTCATTTTTCTCTCATATCAGGGGGATATGAGGGGAGGAAGCACAGTAATTCGAAAATACTATTGGTTTTCTACTGATACAAAGCTTAATGCTAAATCCTGAAGTATCCCTTTAAAATGAAAGTAGTCAAATGATTGGTTAACGACCACAACAATCTGTTGGTTATCGTTATTAAAGATGCAATCATCACTAAAATGTGTCTTTATTCCGTCTCCTCAGGGACACACCTATGTGAACACCACTGGTCTTTTGGAGCAGCACAGCCCAAGTGTGCCCGATGTTCCTGCGGTGCTGAATGTTCCGTTCCCTGATGGAGAGGAGCCCTTCGCTCAAGAGGCTCCTGATCCTGGCCCTCGAGTGCAACTGGAGCCTGAAGGCGCTCGCTTCGTGCTGGGCCCGACTCCTGTGCAGAGACAGAGGCAGAAAGAGGCACATTTGTCAGGACATGAGTGTGCTGGGGCAGAGGCAGTGGCGAGGAACTCAAGCCAGAACTCAAATGGGAATGTTATTTCACACCCTAAAAACACAAGCAGCACAGATGTGATCGACAACGGTAGATCCGCCGAGGAAATCTCTCCTGAAGTCTCGATCATTCCTGAGAACTTTAACGGATCTGCCATCGCTCTCTCTCGCCGCCGGACTCGGCCGCCCCCTCCTCTCACTCCTGAGGCCAACGTCAACAACTCAGCCCAGCGGAGAACCGCTTTACTGGACTACGAGAACCTCCCAGCCTTGCCACCTTTACGAGAACACCCGAAGGGCGGCTCGGAAGATGAGGACGGGGAAGAGGTGTGCTCATCAACCGTCAACGGTTTCCACAACCACCGGCAGTACAGCCCTGACCCCACTCACTACTACATTAACACAGAGAACGTGACCGCCCCCCTCAGCGCTCACAAGCTGGAGTCGGCCCGCTGGCGGGACCGCTCTACCCCGACCTTCTTTAGCTTCGACTTCCGCCGCCCCTGTTCAGAGTCCCACAGACTGAACTACATCGAGGTGGAGACCGAGACGGAGAACTCGAGCAACCCTCAGACCCCGAAAACGCCCACGTCCCCCCTGCCCCAGACGCCCACCCGCAGGACAGAGCTGTACGCGGTCATCGACGTGGAGCGCACGGCGGCCATGTCGAGCCTGCAGAAAGCACTGCCCCGTTACGACGGGACCTCCAGGAAAACGCGCCACAACAGTGTTGATCTGCCCATGTGACCTGTCCCTGCGACCGCTGGAAGACACTCCTGTTTGTTTCTAAAACTTTCCCGATTTATTCCAAAGGCAGGTGGACTTAATATCACAAATGTTGTATTGTTTGTAACACTTGTAGGGATTTCATGTAGTTGAGAGAGTGTCCCTCTGTCTCATGTTGGCTTGAGAAAAGTAACAGAGGAGCTCCCCATATACCTTCATTTTATTCCTATGGTAATATACTACTACTTTTCTTACACTCGTTTTTCAGTGCCTGTTTATTTTGTTTTATTATGTTAATAACAAGGTTGGACAACATTCCACAGGTCCATTCCATGCGGTACAAATCAGTATTACTGATCATATTTGAGTTTGTTTTTTCCTTTATTTACCCTTTATAAAGTGACTAAGTTGTTTTAATATCTGTATCTAAAGATATCTTCACACACTACATTTTGAATTTTTGGCTTCATATAGTAGGTTTCAATACTTGGCACAATAAAAGTCTATTTTGTTTGATTGAGGTTTTTAGTTTTGAAGCTGTACACTAATATAATACATGCACTGTGGTCCCGTACACCTGCCATAAACATGCCTTTCATATCCAGATATCATCTGCTTACTGTTTTGCTGAATTGCATTTCTGTGTCTTTAGTGTGATCAGATGGAGATTCTATCACAGTTATCCATGAAAAATAGAAAGCATCACTTGCACACTATATCGCAGATTCTGTTCATCAGAAGAAGTGTAATATCATCCAGTTTCATATTGACAAACCTCTAAATGGTTTTTATCATTTTGAAAAAGAAACTGATTCTGCTAGAGGAGTTCATACTCAATTCAATTTCCATTGACAGAATGGAGAAAAAACCTTGTCACTCACTCAGTTCTCCTCTGGCCAACGAACCAACAGTGTTATGATTCAGGCAGCATTAACGGTCAGACGTATATTGGATATCAGCAATCTAGTCTTGAAGCCATGAGTGTATGAACTTTTCTGTTTCAGTAACAGACAGCATGTTTCATAACTTGGCAGTATTGTTTTCCAGTAAAGAAACATTGCCATAGTAAGGAAACAAAAGTTTAAATCTCCACCAAAAATAGAGCGTTATAAAAAACCATTTCAGGGTCAATCCATGTTTTTTTAATAATGCTCTGCCGTTTAGTGGCAAGTCAGTGCCGTTTATCTGTCAGAATCGTCAGTGCTTTTTGAAAATGATGCCTATTTTTTTACTTATGTGGTCTGAGTGAAAGTTGTTTTGGCTGAGGCCAATGTTGAGTTTTGAATACCTTAACCCTAAAACCGTATTCTGGATAAATGTGGGCAAAATAGTTTTGATTTATTTAAAAAAAAAAAAAATACTTCCCTTGATCTGAGCGGTACAAGACTTTGCTATTTTTCCTAAGTTTGCCTCCTGAACACACACATTTTTTTTACTCAATTCTACAATGTTAAGTGGGTAGAAAAAACCCCTCCTTAAACCCCTCCTTAATCTTGTATTTGGGTCAAAAATGGGCACCCATAGAAATGAATGGGAAAAACTGTAATTTAGAGCATTCTAAAATAAGCCAAAATAAGACACCAGGTGACAGCAAAGTCACTTCATCTTTAGGTTTTAGCTCTAAGAACTTATTGGAATAATATTTTAATGCAGTTAAAAAAAATAAATAAATAAAATAAAACATAAAAATAAGCATAATTTACATAGAAAATATGGTACTTTTTGAAGTAAATAAATTCAAAATACCCACAAAAAAAAAAAAAAAAAACCACCATAAATGGATAGACAAAACTTTATCAAAGACAGTGATATAACATTTATAATAAATAAAAATCCTCTGTGCCCACATGTCCACAATTACAGGATTAAGGGCTATAAAGTGAATACGGTTTGAGGGCAGTAGTAGTTCAACACAAAAAAGAAAATGTCATCATTTACTCCATATTGACTATATACGTGGAACACAAAAGTAGACATTTTGACTGATGTTCTGGAGTTTCTGATATGTTTATATAAAAGTATTTCAATCTCTAGTCCAGCTCCACCTCTGTGGATCTGATGGGTGGAGGCAGGGCCGTCATCAGGGCGGTGTAACCAGTGCAGGGCAACAGAGAGACTGCTAAAAGACTACAAACATGGCGGATGTACGAGACCCACGGTCAAGGTTAATACAGGTTAACATGTTAATAAACAGCATTTTATTAAAATCATGTATTTTCACTAAAGATGTTATTCAGACTTGTAGTCAATAAACAAATACATCATATGATTTCAATTAACACATAAAGTACAGTACTATACATATGCTATTTAACAAACTTAAAACAAAATAGAAAACTGTTTTAAATAGAAAATACACAGTGCTTTTCCTAGGGCTAAACTTACAAACTAATTCCTCCGTCCTTCTTTCTCACATACTTACATTTGTATTAAAAACTTGAAATAGGGTTGTTTTGCATATTTTATTCTTAATATTTGTCTTAATGACTTAGTTTATTTATATTATGTTTTCATTATATTATGTTTCCAGTGCATATAAAAATATTTCTGAAATTGTATATTTTATAAACAGCTGTACTCTCTAATACCCTTGAAACAGTACTATTTTGCACATCTTATTCCATGTATTTACTGGTAAACATAGTCTGTATAATCTACAATTTAAGGTACCTCATTGCCAGAAGCTGGTGACAAGAAGAGAAAGCAAAGGGTGATGATGATGGTTGTCAATTCCAGGTGAAAGTGCCAGTTATGTGGGTCCCAAAAGAGAAGACATCCTCAGAGTCAATCTCAGACCATATTCAATCTGGTTGATGCTAGATAGAAAGACTGCATTTCTGAAACACATGTGAAATGCTTCTGGTTGGCTGAAGCCAGCGTTCCGCTATGACGCACTACGATGACACACTTCACACTAAAGTTTTGGAGAAGCACTCCTCATGACAAATTCATGGCTAGAAGCTTGCGGTTGTAAAATTATAACAGGTACTAGTATATAAAAAATAAGTACCTAATGGATAACTACTAGTATCTATTATAGTGCTTGCTAATTGGAATATACATTAACCAGAACTGAATAGTTACCAGAATGACAGATCCCCATAGAAGTCAATTGCAAAAAAATTTAATTTGCTATTAGTAACAAAATAATAGTTATAGTCACTATCGAAATAAGTACTAGTTTCTAATGAATAAGTACTAGTGTCTTTTTAATAAGTATCTAATGAATAAGAAGTCATATCTAATAAATAAGTACTAGAATCTTCAAAAAGGTACTAGTACCTAAAGAATAAGCACAAGCACTAATCCCTAAGAATAAGTACTATGCCAGCGGCCATATCACCCTGTTGCCCAAGACTGGTTGCGCACTGAAACTAAGCAGGGCTGATCCTGGTTAGTGCCTGGATGGGAGACCTTCTGGGAAAACCAGGTTGCTGCTGGAAGAGTTAGTGAGGCCAGTAGGGGGTGCTCTCCCTGTGGGCTGTGTGGGTCATAATGGCCACTGATGTAATGAATCAGACCCTCCAGGATTTCACGATTTTTTTTTTGTGATTTTTGCGATCAAATTGACTGATTTTGTGGTGGTAATTTCCAAAAATTTGTGAAAAAATTTGCGATTTATATTTAACATTTACCATACTAGTATTCAGTCCTTCCAGAAAAACGTGGAGTTTTTTTTGTGATTGTTAATTGATTGATTATGCGGCCCGTTTTCTTTAAAAATGCGCTGGAATATGCGGGAAATTTATGCAATTTTATGCGATGAAATTGCAGGAATTTGCAAAAATTGAGGGAACTTGCAAAAATTGCGGTTTGATGAAAAAGATAAAAAAAGTGATTCCCTCAACATCCTGTTAATGTAAGAGTCATTTCTTATTACTTCCTTTGATAAACAAGCATACTACATTATAGAAAGTGCTGGGAATATTTAACTTCTCATCTTGTTTTATTTCAGACTGTAAGAGTGTAAATAAGGTGTGGCCCCTTTAAGGGCCGGTTCACATATCGCGTCTTTTGCGCCCTCAAGTTCGTTATTTCAAATGTAGGCGCGCGGTATGCGCGCTCATAATGGAAGCGGTGCGGTCGCGGTGCGACGCGCTCGTTTTTCCCATGCGCGTCCGCGCCGCGTCGAGATAAAAACATCTTAACTTTTCAGAATACCGCTAGCGCACCATACGCACACAATAGGTCATGTGACAAGAACCAACTGAAGCGCAACCGCTCTGGCGCTTTGCAAAATAGAGAATGCGGCGCGCCCAGCGTTTTCTACGCGTTTTTAGGCGCTATATGTGAATTAGGCCTAAGAGCTGCGTGCTCCCTGTTGAACTCTCTGCAGTGTTATATGTGCGCCTCGAACACCCCATGTGTGCGGGTAATTTCTGATTGATAATACTTCTTTTATCTTATGTTGTTTATTAAGTAACGATGTGACAGTAGAACGTGCGACAGACAGAATACGAGTTCGATTTGTGAGATGTCAATCGCCTCCGTGAGTCTGTCTGGCGTCGTGTAATTGCGTCACTTCATAACGTTTCCATGGAAACAAGGGGAAATGGCTGCTCTTGTGTGAAGCAAACGCAACATTTTTCAAATTTCTGCTAAGATACATGTGACTTTTTTGCAACGAAAATGCGAGGATTATGAAATTATGCAAACCCCGCATATTTTGCATGGAAATCGGCAATTTATGCGGCGAAACTGCGGCGTATTTGAAAAAATGCGGCCCCCGCATAAATATGCGGACTTTGGCTGATTTTGCATTGAATTCAGCGATCGCATAATCGCGTTTTTCTGGAGGGACTGAATGAATTATTATTATTATTAGTCATTAATGGAATAGATACAAGTATCTAAAAAATAAGTACTATAGTAGCATGAAAATAGATACTAGTCAGTTTAAATGATTAAATGTTAACATGGCTTGCCATTGTCACAACTGCTATTTTACTCGTCTTATGTTAGGAGGACTAGAACGGCCAAGGTAGAGTTTCATTAAAAATCTTACTAGTAAAATAAGAATTCTTACTAGCAATATTTGGAAAAAATACTTGTATCGATTGAATAAGTACTACTAGTTCTTATTAATTAGCTACTTATTCAATCGATACTAGTATTTTTTCACTAGTATCTACAGGCGAGAGTACACTGAATAAGTATAATATCTAATAAATAAGAACTGAATTAGTATCCAATAAATAAATACTAGTATCTTATGAATAAAAACTAGTATGTAATAAATAAATATATTTTAAATAGGTAAAAGTAGGCCTATCTAATAAAAAGTAGTATCTAATGTAGGCTATAAAGTACTTTATCTAATAATACACATGCAGTCTCTAAAAAAATAAGTAGGCCTAATGAACAGCTATGTATAACATATGTACAAGTCACAATTGGAATACATACTGATTCTGAATAGTTTGAAATATGAATTATCAAAATAATATCTGATGAATAGATAGCCTATCTAATAGGTAGGCCATATAAGACAAGTCAAGTCACATATATAGCACTTTTTACGACAGGCTACAACACAGATCAATAACATTGTTAAATATTAAATGTCCCCAACTAAGCAAGCCAAAAGCAAGGCAACAATGGCAAAGGAACCAAAACTCCATGATTGAATGGAGAAAAAAACCTTGGAAGAACCCAGGCTCAGTCGGGGGCCAGTTCTCCTCTGGCCAACGAAGGAACAGTGATTACAAAACAAATTGGATCGAAACAATTTGTCCATTTAAGTCGAAGTAATCACGCCGATATAAGGAATGAATATTATTCCATATAAGAAATAAGTACTTAAGTACTAGTATCTAATGAATAAGTAGTCTCTAATGAATAAGTACAAGTAATATAATTAGTATCTAATGAATAAATATACGTGTCTATAATGAATGAGTACCAGTATGAACTAGTATAATGAATAAGTACCAATATCTTTTAAAGAATAACTAAAGAATAAGCACTAGTAGATAATGAATAATAGGCTACTTAACGGAATAGATAATAGTTGGCCTATTTAAAAAAGAAGCATAAAAAGATATGGTAAAGATACAGTACGTACATTAAGGATTAAATGTTATAATGGCTTGCCATATTCATAGCTGTAGAAAAAAGATTTAATTTAATAATTTAGGTTGTAGGAATACGGCTGTATATTGTTTATATCAGTGTTTATTATGTTCGTAACGTTTATTGAAGAAACTGTAGTTTACTGGCCCTTTAAGGTTTTGAAAGGCGGAAGCGCGGAGTTCAGTCCCAGCGTGCAGCGCGTGAAGATGGCGGGTGTTCTGGAGAGGAGTTACATTGAGATATGCGGTTTTGAAAGAGAGACTGTCTCACGGTTCAGACACATAACACTGAATCTAGGTAACTCCTTTTAATATTAAACTATTGTAGACATGAAATTTTCAGTCAGATGTGCGTTAAAATAGGCTGGGCATAATTGGTGGCTTTGGTGTTAGAAGCTCGTGTGTGACGCCATGGCAGACTCGCAAATGACGATCACATAACGTTAAATGTAAATTAAATATGTTTTTCTTTTTTATCTGACGCTGTGATATTTGCTGTCAGTATCCAGGAATTAGTTTTTTAAGGGCTTTACTATATTAAAATACTTTTTTAGAGGGCAAAAGTCTCAACGCGTTGTTTGAGATTCTTTTTGCAGATGAACCAAACATGCGCTAGATTGCAATGTAACGTTAATGATGTTAAGTATCAATAAACTTGTTTAAAAGTGTCTCACTTAAAGATGTTAGGTGTGTGTGTCTAACTTATTCATAATATGTATGCAACTTAAACACATTTTGAAGTGGATTTATGTCACTTTTTTCACTGAAAACGCGTTAATTTTTATTAACGGTAAAATTTATATGCATAAGCGTTTTTAATATTTTAAGCATGTCACTGATGTGTCCAGCAGGTGTTGGAGTAAGCTCTGGCGGTGTGAAGTATGCAGACAGTGCTGGTGGATTCTCCTATGAGGACAGTGGGAAACTCCTCTCAGTGGCCAGTAACAGATTCATCCACTGGTGAGAGCTTTTCACTCATCAACTATATTTATTAGGGGTGTAACGTTAACTGTTCACAAAATTCACGGTTCGTTCGGTTTCCGATACAGCAAAAAGAAAGAAATGCCAGAGAAATTTCCTTGATTATTTATTTTATTTATTTTTTTTATTAAAACTAACATCATAAAATATGATATTTTTAACTTTGAGCAATGATAGAGCTTTGTTTGACTTTTCTTAGGAGCATGTAAAACAAAACAGCTCCTTGGACAAAATGAAATGTAATATTGTAGTAGACAGGTTTATTTTAGTTCAGATTAACATTTGAGGGCAACTGTATTTATAATGTCACAATAAAACAGTCCGACGTGATGTTACTACTATTCCTGCCAAACTTACAGTTAGTAGTGTTACTACAGTAAATCCATGGTGAATGTTGCTGATCTGTGGACACTGGATAGTTCATTCATGGCACAAAGTTTCTTCCTGGTTTCCACGTCAGCGCTGTTTGATCCGTTAATAATGGAGAAATGTGAATGTTTCTCACCAGATCTGGCAGTGATGTTATTACTTTAGTGGCGAATTCAACTTTTTTCTTTCTGATTTGGCTGTGTAGTAACAGTGCTGCTTGATTAAGATTGGCTCGCGCTGCATTGGACCAAACTGATACACGGTCCGTCAACCACACAATAACAAGTAGCTCAGTTTCGTTCAGCTTACATTACATTTGCCATTTGATGTTGAGTAATGTTGTGGTCACGCACGCCAGCGTTTCTTACATTATGAGCGCACTTGCCACGCACGACGCACCTACATTTGAATAAGGGAATTTTGGTCGGCAGGAAAAATGTTCCAACGAACCGTTCGGTTCAAATATGCGTACTGAAAACCGAACCGAAAGCCTCGTACCGAACAGTTTAATTCGAATACGTGTATCATTACACCCCTAATATTTATATAGCGCTTTTCACAATATAGATTGCATCAAAGCAGCTTCACAGTATCTTCACAGTAAAAAAAACAAAAAAAAACCCATAATAACAATGTTCATTTCTTTGGGGGAAAAATAAGAAATAGTGGAAAAAAAACTCAAAATCATTCACTCATGTAGGGCTGGACCCGAATATCCGAATATTCATTTGGTGGGTTGGTATTCGGCGGGGTTTTTTTTTTTTTGCACACCTGCATCCCCCTCGAAACGATTCTCATTCGCGCTTGAATATGTTTTACACTATAAAATCTGGTTAAATATAATACTTAACATATTACTTTGTTATAACTATTTAATAAATATATTTGCTTCTTCTTGGACTACTAAAAGTGTTCCTGCAACGGGAGTATTCTCCGGCTAGAGCGCTGAACAGCGGAGTTTGTATGGACAGAAGTGCCAGAAGAGCTTGTGTTTTGGGTTAAAGGTGCTAAGCGATGTCACACATTTTTTTAGGCCCAAAAATGTTTTATTACATACAGCAAACATCTCCTCAATATCCGTTAGCTGCCTGTCCCCTAAACACACTGTAAAAAACGCGGTCTGTGCAGACAACCCAGGCTCCCAAATGGCAACAAAAACAAACTGCGGCAACCCGCTCCACGAAACATAACAAAATGTTCCAGCCAATAACTGACAAGAAGGCCCTGGGGGTGGGGTTTTTGGGATTAGTGCAGATGAGGGGGAAGGGAGGGTCTATCTAGCCTCCGTTTTGTTAGAAAATACTTTAAACGTCAACAAGAAGTCACGTCACACGACATCGCTTAGAGCACCTTTAACAGACCTGTGTGTGTCCGTTCTCAGAGGATTTAAGATCTGCTTGTGTGAGGCATACCGCTTCATGCTCGCGCTGTTCTGTAGTTTGTTAAAAAATGATCAATTCTGAACCTGTCTCGCCTGTCTATCTATATTGCGCCAAATAAGACACTGACTGCACTCCCTTGTGAAGTTGTTTGGAATAACGGTTCTCGAAATAATCAAAATGCAAACAGACGGACGGACAGACAGATATATAGCCCAGAGATTCCAAAGCTTCGAATATTCGATGTTCATTACTACCGCTTCGAAGCTCAAAAAAATGATATTCGGACCAGCCCTAGATGTAAATAGTGTTGTAATTTATCATTTGAATAAATCACTGCATCAATAATTGTAATCTGATATTTTTCAACTGATTGTGCAGCCCTTTTTTGAAATGATGTAAAGGAAATTATATGCATGTTTTCTACCCTAATTCTAACAATTTTACATTGTTAAATGAATTGGTACACATTTATGAAAATGAAATTGTCTGTAATAGGGGGGATGTACAGTATCTTTACATTTATTTTATCCACCTTTTTCTGCGCCCATACTATTTCCCATGATTCATAGTGGGTTCAACTGACTGGATGGGTTTTTTTATTTCCTGCTGTCCTTTTTTCACTAATTGTATCTTAATAGGGCTTGGGCGTAGGGCTGTCGCGGTAACCGCAATATTGTAGTACCGCGCTTCTGACAAGTCAACCGCAGAGGATAGCACGTAACCGCAGCAACCGCGATATTCACGTTTTTTTTTTTTTTATAAGGCTATACCCTTCTTGTTTTGAACTTAATGCATGTGTATTGAATGTTAAACAAGTTCATAATGATAACAAGACTGTTTATCATGGTGATGTGTAGCCTACAGGCTTCACACAGACAGTGAATGAGAGAGATCGGCAGAGCGCGTGCAATTACCTGCGTCTGTCTTTGAAGTCGTGAAAAGCTTGTCGTGGTAAAGGGAAGCGAAAAATTTGTCGCATCATCATTTTAACGTTCTCTTCACGGGTATTTTCCCATAAATGCGCGTCAGCAGCAGCGCTGGTCAGCATCCCACAACACAAGGAAGCCGAAATAAAATCAGTGAGTCACGCACTGAATCAATGGGTCTCTAATAAGTGAAGCATCAGCTTCAGCGTTGCCTATGCGACGCATTGCTGCTCAGCTGAGCCTTGAAAAGTTGAGTCTCAAAGTTAAAAATAATTAACATCTTGTTGAATCAGCTTTTTTAAACGTGTTCGTTGAATGAACGGTTCAATGATTCGCTCAAAGTCCGTTGTCATAACAATATGCGCGCTGAGTGAAAGTCTTTCAATGCGCATATAATGTAGACGCTGTTTAGTTTCGGTTGCATTGGTTACTGAAAATGTCCTCGTTTTTGTCCACATCGTAAACATTATTTATATAGCAACAAAAACATATAAATTAAATAAATAAATAAATAAATGGCGGTAATACCGCATATCGTGCTATTGAGCCACTCAACATTACCGCAAGGGAAATTCCATAACCGCGACAGCCCTACTTGGGCGTCGTGACGTCATTACTGGCATGGCGGCCATGTTGGAGGCTAGTGAATGTAAACAAACAGCAAGTCGAACACAGGAGAAGCGGAGTTGAGAGAAAGAAAAGATTTGATTCATTTGGCGTTACTATTTCAACAATGGTAAACCGTTGCTCTATTGTGGGGTGTAACAGCGCAACACATAATCACCATGGGGAAAAGATTGACAATGGATTAACTTTCCACCGCTTTCCTGCTTGGAGGCGCACCCACGGAGACCAGATATCCGCGATAACAAAGAGTCGCCGGCTCGCTTGGATCTCGGCTGTATACATGACGTATAAATGCATATATATAAATAAATATATATAAGACAGTAAAGTATAACATAACATCTAAATATTAATTTGTATAGCTTAAGTCGAATTCATGATGAAGACAGCGGGAAAAGAGCTCAAAATACGCGAGAAACCCGGAAAACTACACTTTTGAAACACATAGTTAAACGTACATGTGTGAATGGTTGTTAGCACTAACAGTTACTAAACTAGCAGCAAGGTTGAGCGCAGCTTACCTAACGTTAGTTTGTCTGGATTAACGTTACTGTGTTCCCACTGTTTGCCGCCTTTATGATCTGCAGCTCCTGAACCCATCCATTAGTGAACTGCACATGCGACTCTAATACCTTGTAGCTTCGGAACTGTTCTGAGGTGTGGGTGCTCACACCATAAACAAGGTAACTTAGCCGACATCGGTGCTCCATCTTTGTTTGAAATTTCATAAGGATCCAAATCGTTGATAGTGCCTATTTTGTCCACATACCGGTCCCTGGCTTCCCTTGTTAACGTTTCCCGGTATATTCCACATCCTTTTAGGGATTTTAACATATTTATTTATTTTCTTTTCTTTCTCTCAACTCCGCTTCTCCTCGTTCGACTTCCTGTTTGTTTGTTTGTTTACATTCACTAGCCTTCAACATGGCCGCCAAGCCAGTAATGACGTCACGACGCCCAAGCCCTATTTCAATCAATGTTTCATCAACCAATTGCCTGGTTTTAATAAATAAGAAGTAGGCCTATATAGTAAACAATAGATGATCATGACTGAGGCGACAGCGCGCAGACTTGACTTTGGTCAGAGGTAGACAAGAGTCAAAGGGCTAACCAGCCTAACCTTTTAGTACTGTTATTCTGCAGCAGTCTGGGTGATGATAGGCTATCGGATGTTTGCTGGAGACCGTGCAGTCATGCATCAGCTATCCTTCGGGAGTTATGAAGCAAAGAAAAACGTTCATTTTGTCATTATCTGTGATCTAATAAAAAATAATGTGATCAGATCACATTTGATGAATGCTTTTTTTTATTTAGTTTAGCGATGTGGGGATGACACAATCTAAAACACATGGCAAAAAAAGCATAGACCAGACTCGAACCGGAAGTTGACAACCGGCATCGTCGTCATGGCAGCGCGCATTGTTTAGAGCAGAAAAAGGTGGATACAGTCCCAATATCACTGACTTCCTCTGTTAAAATAGAAAAAATGTTTTTCCTTTAGTATTTACAAATTAGGATGTCTCCTATCTTCCAGGTCCACTTCAGGTGACACTGTTCAGTTTGTTGAGCAGTCGCTGGACACTAATCTTCTGAATAATGCTGTCCGCTTGCGTATCCCACATTGCCTCTTGCTGCCTGGAGGAGTTTTTATACAAGAGACCCTTAACAACGTCCTCATTCTGATCGTCACCAGCCAATCTGTCCATCGCCTGGTTCTGCCGCACCCCTCTCGCATGTACCACAGTGTAAGTGACAGGATCTTTACTCTTCTTTCTCTGCTACTAAATCAACATTTCCCCCCCCCCCCCTGCAGATGCAGCTAAATTGAGCTTAGTTTGTCCAGTATTGCTGTTATCAATGTTCCTTTTTCAATCGATGAGGATACAATTCGTGATTAACAGCGTTCCAACAAGTCCTGGACAACCTGTAATTGTGCAGTGCAGTTTTTCACCATAGAAAGTCAGTAGTCTTCCATGTATCAGGGCAAGGACCCCTTAGGGGCTGGGCCGTTCACTTACCACTTCATTGTGCGCTCAAGTTCGTTATTTCAAATGTAGGCAGGCGGCTCGTTTTTATTTATTTCTCATCTCCATAAATATATTTAGGCTATTTTTATTTATATTATGTTATTATTTTTATTATTTTTATATATTTATGCTAATGCTATACCGATAAAGACATGGAGCAGAGACCCCCGATACAAAATCGTATCAAATAGAGCTACATATTAAATATAGCAAATAGCCAACAGCATGACGGTGTGCAAATGCTGCTCGAACTGCCGTTCCTCACTAAATGAATGCGAGTGGTTTTATGTAATAGGGCTGTCAACGAATATTCTAAATTCGAATATATATTCGAATAGTTTTAAAAAACAGAAATTCGAAGGTGAAAATTAATATTCGAATTAAAAAAAAAAAACGCCCGCGCAAGCAAATGCGCGGCTGTCTGTTTTGCGAGTGGCCGTGCACGCTGCCTGATTCAAAGTGCAGAGCCCAACTCGACCGCAGCAGAGAAAGTGATTTTAACCCCCCAAAATGAGTGAGGCCGCTGCCGGACAGACACGTGATCGGCAGCCCGCTGAGAAAACTGCGTTATCTGCTATGGTCTCTTCGGAGACACGTATTGCGCGGACAACCCAGACCAGGACATCAATTTGCTGCTTCAAAAAGAGATGTTAATGTATGAACAAGAGTCTCCAGTACCTGCTCAACAAAATCCTCTCATGTGGTGGAAAACTTTGGGCTCTGGGAGATAGTCTACCCTCACATCGCCCAGATGGCAAAGAAATATCTTTCCATCCCCGGATCCTCAGTGCGCTCTGAACGCGTTTTTTCCTCCGCTGGGAATAGAGTAAATAATAAGAAATCAGCACTGGCCCCTTCAAATGTGGACTGTCTTGTGTTTTTGGCAAATAACCTGTAGACCCGACGGTGACAGTGCGCACTAAAAAGACAACGGAATAAATTGCCGTCAGTTTTTTTTTTCTTCCTTTTTTTTTATTCAAGCACCAAGAATGTAAGTAGCCTTTTTCGTTTTTAATAGTTCTTTATTTTTTTATGAACCTCAGGGTAAAGGCGTTGTCACATTTCTCGGAATTGTGTGCCTCATTTTATTTAACTTTAAACAGAAACAGCCTGTAGGCTAACTAATTAGATAGGCCTATTGCGTTGGAGCGTGAGGTTTGCAGTCTTGCCCATTACTTTGTTGTACTTTTTTGTGTAGGTAATACGTTATTAAATATGTTTAAAATTAAAGAAAGTACCTATACAAGTAGTTATGCCTCTTTGTATTAATTCGTCCTGTTAATGACGTAATGCGCGTCACTGAAAAAATGCGCAACCAGATATTCGAATAGTATGAATATTCGCATGTTTTTTTCGAGGGAATATTCGAACGTAATTTTTGAGCAATTTTGACAGCCCTACTATGTAAAGGGCTAGCAGTATTGTAAAATGAGTCGCTGTGATTGATTATTTAATTAAATTACCTATTTAATAATCAAATATGACAACTAATACAACTGTCACAATGCCGCCTCAGTTGTGCCTGCTTTTCATAATGTCTAACTCCTGTTGTGGACACGCTGAAACATGGCAACTAAACCCAATGAATTTGCTATGATTTATTGAAATGGTGTTCTTATTATAAGGCCACCCTTAAAAATATTCTTGTTTTCCGTAACCCGACCGACCCTGTCAATTTAGGGCCGACCTAATTTTATTTATTTTTTTTCCTTTTAGTCCGACCGACTTGCCGGTTGTAACTTGCTTTCAGACAGACCGATATTTTATTTTATTTTTTTTTACTCTTCAAATGACTAATTTAAATTCAATAAAATAATATTAATTATATTTTAGTTAGTATTGTGAAAGTTGCTTATGTCTACATGCAAATGTAGGCTACGTTCTTTCTTTTAAATAAAAACCTGTGGCGTCATCATCTGATTGTTTACACCATTGGTTTACCCGTGTCACACTATATGGCTTGTACCTTCGCTTCGTTTCATTCAGTATTCGCGCTTGGTAAACTCGGTATTAAACGGGCCCCGGGACTGAATTTCAACCATTTCTATATATAAAAATAATATTAAACAATTTGTCTGTGATGCAATTTTGCTTTTCGCAGTCCAGAAGAGAGAGCGATCTCTCACCCGGAGCCACAGCGCGCACAACACGACAGCCCTGCTTAATAAGTGACAATGAGGACAGAATGCGGTTACACTTTAGATCTGGGATATTATTCTAATTGTATTTTAGATTTCCGGTTTCAAAGATTATAAAAAGAAAATATTTGAGATGAAACCATTACAGACGCATTCTGTCTAGCGTAACTTCCTTCCCTTCACAGCGTTGCGCTGTCATTTCTTCCTTAAACCCAAACGTACCGTCAGAATCAGCACGATCGGTGATTGTTGTAAATAGGCTTTATGCGGAGCGTCACGTGACAAAACCGGAAAACGGGTCTCATCGCATCCGCTTGTCAGAGAAAGTGTTAACGGCCGTAAGAACTGACTACGATATCTATGGATTTTTAAGGTAATCAGCTAACCTAACTAGTTCACTTTGTTATTGGAGTTTTATTCCATTTAAATATCAAAACGTTACTGTGAAGAAGAAAAATATAAAACGTTTAAATATCAATCTGCACATGTGAGGGATATTGGTTATGCTAATCTTTACTCGCTCCTTTTAAGTTATCTTGAGTGAAACCGCAAAAAATTTCATGAAGCACATACAAAAGACCTGGACCGGAAGCGATGCGACCTGTTTTACAGAATGCGGAAGTAAGTTGTGCATAAAGCCTATTGTAGTCTGTACTGTTGCTAAATTGCGGACGCGTTTAATTATTAAAAGAGCTATTAAAAGCACAAAAGTCTGCGCAAGAGACGCTGTTCACAAGGCGGCGCGCGCTCCGAAATGCACTGCAACGAGACAAGAAAAGTAGGCTATAGCCTCATTTTGGGCTTCATGTGTGCATCTAAACAATCAAATATACATAAAATATAAAAATGACCTGCTCTGAGATTCATTTAAACACAGTTTATATCTTAAATGGACGTAAATAGTTGGGAGAAAATGATGGTGCATCAGTCATCTATTAGATCTGCACTCTTTCTTAAAGGGGCAGTAGTCTGCTTGATTAGTAGCTTGATTAGTAGTAGTAGCTTTAGTAGTAGATTAGTAGTAGCTTGATTCAGGAGGATACAGAGGATAGCAAGATGGCGCCAGTGTTTGTGGCTTGCCGTCTTATCCTGCAGTGACAGTCAATATTTGTGTTTTTGCTGTTTGCGTTACCCCTTGTTCAATATGTTGACTCATTACTGGTGTATGAGCGCCAAAGTCTACTGGATCTTCGAATCACTGTTAAATTTGATTATGGTGGACAAAATGCATTGCCACCGTTCCTGTCTGAGATCCCAGCCTCTCTCTGCCGTCCTACGGTTTTACATCAGCAGCGGAAGCGACATCGCCGCCGGGATAAACGCAGCGGACGACTGGTAAGGATTGAAGGCTTCTCTGGCGCACTCTTCCATGACCACTTGGGCGAAGTACCGAGCAGTGCCTCGTCTTTTTATTTCTCGCCGATCGCTGGACCCTGTCGACGCCTGGTTGGTACCTGTCGTCGGGTCAGATGAGGATTTCCAGGCCCGTGCTCCTTGCTCTCCCCGCTTTCGCTGGCGTGGGGTGAACCTACGAGACCTACGACCTGTGTGCCGGGTCTCTCGGAATGACAGCATTATAGACCTGCCGGCCCCCGTCAGGATGGGCTTAGTAAATGCTAGATCACTAGCAAACAAAACTTTTATCCTAAACGACTTTTTTACCTTCCGAGGACTGGATTTCCTCTGTGTGACTGAGACTTAATTGAGTGTTGGTGAGTCCAGCGTTTTTTCTGAGTTTTTACCGCATGGTTGCAGCTATTTAAATTCCCCGCGGACGTCGGGACGAGGTGGAGGAATTGCAACTGTTTATAAAAGCACCTATAAATGTAAACAGATATTTTTATCAACAACTTTTAGCAGTTTTGAACTTTGTTTATTTGAGCTTGGCCGTTCTCATATTATATTACGTGCAGTTGTCTATCGACCTCCGAAATATAATAAGGATTTTATAAATAAGTTTTCCAACTTCCTGGCCGAGATGATGCCGAAATATGACCGCATTCTAATTACTGGGGATTTTAATGTCCATGTGTGCTGTAATGACGCCCCAATGGTAAAAGACTTCCTATGCCTTATTGACTCTTTTAATCTCACACAGTTTGTGGCTGGACCCACACATGAACGTGGACACACACTTGATCTAATTCTATCTTTTGGGTTGCCTGTTCATAATCTAGAGATTGGCGATGCAGTGTTCTCTGACCATATGCCCATACTATTTGAGATTGCCCTGGACTGTAATGCAAACAAACCCTGCAGTGTTGCTCGGCCCTGCCGCATTATAAACTCTACAACTGCTGTTAAATTTTCATCTGTGTTTAATCAGAATTTTAGTATACCACAGCATAATGATTCAGAGGAGCTTAGCTCATGGTTACATTCCACCTGTCAATCTACTATAGATATTGTAGCTCCATTAAAACTTAGGCAACCAAAAACAAAAAATGAACCATGGCTAAATGACTCGGTGCGTGCTGTTAGACGCAAGTGCCGTCAAGTCGAGCGCAAATGGAAAAAAGACAAACTGCAAGTGTCATTTCAAATGCTTAGGGACTGTTGGCGTCACAACCAGAAAACTGT